GATTCTTTGAAAAATGTCGACATGAGAAGTTTTTATATGCTTGGTTTTCTGTACTTTTTTTGGTTCCTTCCTAATTCAGAACCACTCAAGGAGGAATGCTTTGCCCAAATTAGAAAAATGATTGAAGAAGAATTAAATGGGCTGAAAATAGCAAGACACAATGTGCTGCTTTTGTTACCGTTTCATGCCCTGTTCTTTCCACACTTTAGTCCCATTCATAGCAATTGAACCATTCATACAAAATAAGTAATTATTTAAGAGTAGCAAAATCTGGTCCGTTAGCATGTGTAGATTGCCAGTTGCAGTTATGCAGACGTGCACACAATAGTATGTTACCTGGAAAATCGTTTAGAGTAAATGCATAATTATCCATCAGCATTAGAGGGGATTTTTTTAGGTTTTTTTCTAATTATACTAGCAACAGTGCAGTACAGAACTGTTACCAGTAATTACACATGGTATCTTTCTAATGAAACTAAATATCAAATGTAGGTATGACAAAGAAGAGGATGATAGACAAGTTTATCTATATATGTCTATAAAACTTAAGTAGTGCATTGAAGCTCTATTTGTACTTATTTGTATGTATACCTAGTTTTCTAACAATTGAAAGCATATTGATTGATAAGCAGAGTTGCAGAAGGCTTTCCTGTACTGTTATAAATATATGAAGATCAATACAATTAAATCTCATTTTTAGCAAAAAACCCTGCTAGTTAAGTATTTTGGCTGAATTCAAATGCACCTGTTTTGAAGCTGTCATAGCTGATACACTGTCTATATGTCAGCAGTGTTATAGAGTATTAAAATGCATTGTTTGGATTAAATTTGCAGAGCAAGCTGAAAGATAAATACTAAAGTATTGTGCTTTTGCTAGGCAAAATGATACGGTGTGTTCGCTGCCCTGTGGCTTACCACGCTGGAGACATTTGCATTGCTGCAGGCTGTGCTGTGATCGCTTCCAACAGCATTGTGTGTACCAATCATTTCACAGCCATGAAAGGAAAAAGTCATCATGCGCATGTCAATGTGAGCTGGTGCTTTGTGTGCTCAAAAGGTAACTTGATGGAAAGCTCTTTATTACTTTGCTGTAAGCCTCATCAACTTTTAAATGTGTCATTTTTTTTTCTGTTTCACCTGGATTTCAGTAAGATCTCTAAATAAAAATGCCAAAGACATGCAGAGTCACTTCAGGTTTAATCAGATTTTGTTGAAGATATTAAAGTATCTGGTGATAAGCAGACATTTTTTTTAAAAGAATGTCTTTCCTTGTAATTCTTCTGCCTATCCTACATCTGATTTAATTGCGAGCCAGGGAGGCATAATGAGAACTAATTATGTTCCTTACCCTGTGTTCAACATACTGAAGCCTTTTGTATTTACTTTCTGTTAATATATATGTAAAAATATAAATATTTTAAGAGATGCTTTTGGCTTAGTTGGAAAACAGCAAATTAAGCCAGTATTAGTTATTGCTGATATACTCCTAATTAATGTTTTTTTGCTTTTACATTCTGCAGTAAATTTTATTACTTATTGAGCACAGCCCTGTGCACAGAGCTGATTAGAACATAGAGAGACAAACTACCTGACCTGCTGACAAATTAAACACACATTGTAGAAGCTTATTAAGCCACAGCTTGCTTAACTTCCTACTTGATAATTCATGCACACAAAACAGTGATCTCATTCCTCTGCTCAACAAAGATTTAATGAAAAAATTCTGTGGAGGCTCGTTTTTATTAAAATTTCACATCCTGTGAAGCATTAGCATAAATTAAACTACAGTTGTTAAACTAAAACGAACCAATTACAATTTGTGATGCATTATCCTGGCTGTTTTGATTGTTGGTTCACTTGCTAATTTGTATAATATAGTAATCTGTGTCTTCCAGTCAATGAAATTAGTTAGATTTGTCTTTGGTTTTTACATACAAATGAGTGATAGGTCTTTGTTACCAATCAGTATGTTTTAACTAGTTTAAAGACTGCATTTATAGTTACATATTATAGAGATTTAAATCACACTGAAATGCTAAATTCCTCCCCCCCTTCTAACTTTGTCTTCTTTGTGCAGGAGGTAGCTTGTTGTGCTGCGAGTCATGTCCTGCAGCATTTCACCCAGACTGTTTAAACATTGAAATGCCAGATGGTAGCTGGTACTGCAATGACTGCAGGGCAGGGAAGAAACTCCGTTTCCAGGATATCATTTGGGTCAAGCTAGGAAATTACAGGTCTGATGAATGCACTTGTAGTTCTTATATATGGGCTGGATATAACTGGAAGAAAATTAATTTGTGTGTAGAAATGTTTGGAGGTTGCTCCCCTATGCAACACCCTCAGTTTCAGAGATATGTTCAAATAGTTAAGTGTGTATAATTTTTGTAATTGATTACATTTGTTTCTTTTTCTGCCTGAGGGATTAGCCATTCAGGTGTCAGCCTTTTAAACTCCACTGGGACATGGGCAGAACTGATATATGAGTGGTGTCACACTGGAAGATGACACCATTCTTGTGTAGTGTAGACAGTCATAGTTATGTATGGTTGTCCACAGACAGAATCTGGTTTTGCTAGCCAGATGCAGGAGGGGCTGTGTAGCCCGATTCCCTCTTCTGGTTTTCAATTTTCCATTAAGTCAGTCGGTTTCTGCCCATTGCCTGGAACTATTATAATTTTGGAATTGGTTGCATGCAGTGTCCAAAAGTAATTGCTGTATAGGGAGACAGAGAGAGATGTACCATCAAGCAAACGTGAGGCCTCACCTTGCTTATCCAAATTCTTTTTCTTGTTTAATGAGTTTAAAAAATGGTAGGTTTAAAGCTGTTCTACTGTTTTGTGTTGTCTGGTGACTTGCTTTCTTAAATCTGATTCTAAGCAGCACTCCATCTACAATGTTCAGTTGTCGTTGTTGATTACTGTTACTAAACTGTCCTGTGAAGAAAGGATTTGACTAAACTGCTGTATTTATTTGTGCTCCTATGATAGATGGTGGCCTGCAGAAGTTTGCCATCCAAAAAACGTCCCTCCAAATATCCAGAAAATGAAGCATGAAATTGGAGAGTTTCCTGTGTTTTTCTTTGGTTCTAAGGATTATTACTGGACGCATCAAGCTCGTGTATTTCCATATATGGAGGGAGACAGGGGGAGTAGATACCAAGGAATTAAAGGAATTGGAAAAGTCTTCAAAAATGGTACAACAAAGCAAAAATAATGTGTGCGCGCGCGTGATTTGATTTCTAAAGATACTGTACTTGAGCCCGGAACTACTTTATGTAATCTTGTCTTGCAATCTAAAAGAGGAAAAAATGGTTTTGTGATTCAGAATATGAGTCACTACCGTTAGTTTGGATTGAATATTTGGGTTTCGTTACTTCTAGCAGCATATAGGGTAAGCTAGTGATGTCCAACCTTTGGGCCCTATTTACCAAATGAGCAGTGCAGGGTCAGTCAGCAGGCCAGATTGAGTCCATGGGGCTGGGAGGTGCACTGGCTTGGGCCAGCTAGATCCTGCTTAAGTGCCATGTCATGTGGCCCATGGGGCTTGCACATTTGGCATTAATTGCTACCATTCTCCACTGCCAAATTTCTGGAGCTTTGGGGAGCCCCATGGGTTGCATCACAGCTCTCCAGGCTGGGGGTTGAGCACTCCTGGTCTAAGCAATATGTTGGTATTTTTGCCTGTCTGGAAAACAATCAATGAGCGTAAATACTAGTCATGTTATAAGAGCTGTAAAGGAATTTAGTTAGTCAATTGAGATCTCTATTATCGAGATGTGTAAACCAAGTAGAAGGAAAGTGAAGGGACAAGAGGGGGAGTGTTACTGGGCTGCAGGGAATAATCTTTCTCTAGGTCCTAACAATGCAGGTGTTTTGTTTTTCCAGCTTTGCAAGAGGCTGAAGCTAGATTTCGAGAAATAAAACTTCAGCGAGAAGCCAAAGAAACCCAGGAAAATGAACGTAAACCACCACCGTACAAACACATAAAGGTAAGGACGGGTGTCTTGTAACCCACTCACTTCAGTGATGTTCTCCACTTCAGGGAATTCAGTCTCAGTTGGCCAGTTTATCATAAACTGGATGCAGATCTAACCTTCTTCTGTAATGGAGGGAAAATAAATTTTAGCTCATCTTTTGCAGAGTGTTGCTGGAAGGCTTCACAGGAGAAGAATGTGTTCGAGTAATGATATGAATTAAGTCCAGGCCTTTGATTGACATGCTGTGAAACGGAAGTGGTTCCTGGGCAGGCTAAATAGTTCAGCCAGCACACAATGATTTTAAAGCATTTTGCATAGATTCCAGGGATCAGGTTGAGCTAGGGAGAGATGAAAAAGAAGACAGTTGCACTAGTGACAAGAGAATAGGAAGAACACCCAGAAGAATTTTCATGGTGCTAAATGGAAAATTACTTCTAAAAATCGTGAGGAAGCTGCAGGATTTAATAAGAGTCATGAAACAGAAAAAGGGTCTGCCACTGAGGTTACAAGAATCAGAGTGTATAATGTCATTTTTTAAAATTAGGGGAAGGAAGAGAAGAAAGCTATTTTCCTTTTTTTTTTTTTTTTTTTTAGTACTTCATCATGTTGAGATTGAGGTGATAGCAGGAAGATAATAACCTATGATGGATTCACTTGAAAAACCAGGCTGTTTTATAATAATACTTGGTCTATTTTTATGTATGATTCAGGTGAATAAACCTTGTGGTAAGGTTCAGATTTACACTGCTGATATTTTTGAGATTCCCAAATGCAACTGCAAACCCACAGATGAAAACCCTTGTGGCTTTGATTCTGAATGCCTAAACCGGATGCTGATGTATGAATGTCACCCACAAGTTTGTCCAGCTGGAGAACGCTGCCAGAATCAGTGCTTTACCAAACGTCAGTACCCTGAAACAAAGATAATCAAAACGGATGGCAAAGGCTGGGGTTTGGTTGCCAAGAGAGACATAAAAAAGGTATGGATTATAGCCTTTTCTAGTTCCACATTATGGCATTCATTCCTTTTAGGGATAAAGATTCAAATCTGTCTTTTGTGTAAGTGCAGTGTAATTTTGGAATAGTATTTGCCCAACTGTGACTCTCTCTCTCTCTCTCTCTCTCTCTCTCTCTCTCTAATGAAGTGGAGCTCTTAATTCCCCCCTCCCTGCCCCCTCCTACCCGTATCCCTCCAAAGAAAGAGTTGTTAACCTGTGGCACTGTTAGGTTGGGTTATTTCTTTACTAGCAATGCTCTTCTGTCCTTCAGGGAGAGTTTGTGAATGAGTATGTTGGTGAACTAATTGATGAAGAGGAGTGTATGGCAAGAATCAAATACGCACATGAAAATGACATCACTCACTTCTATATGCTCACTATTGATAAGGTACAATATTTTAATATTTTTATTGTCATGTAATAATGTGTTTATTATTTAATAATACATTCTGATAAACATTTGACTTGCTTTCCTGTGGAAAAATGGTGCAGTAACTGATAGGTCCAAAGACTAAACTGTCTGATCTGCTTTGGTTTATCATCTGTTCACAGTGTTTTTCACTCTTTCTGTGACTTCTGCATTTCAACACTTATCTACAAGGTGATAAGCATGTCAGAAACACCTATGGTAGAATCGTGCAGATTGCAGTTGGCTGCACTTGGCTGTCTGTCGTCAAGTACAACAAAGATAAGCATATACCTGATTAAAATAGTGGGGAAAATATACACTTATTTGATATAGCAAGGAGACAGTTGGAGTACACACAAAACAATAGCACCACTGTTAACAGACCACTTTTATTAAAAAATGAAATGGCTTGGTGGGAAATTGTAATCTTGAGAGCGTGTCAGTATTCTGTCCTTTAAATCTGTGTTTTCAGCCATCTTCATTTCTTTGTTTGTTCACAGCAAAGTTTAGATCTGCAAAAATGACCCCATGCTCCTTTTTGTAGGAGCTTTTCCCTGGTGTTGCCGACTGTATAATTGCTCAGTCCTTGCCGTCTTCACAATGCATACGAGGATAGTGTTCTGTGTCCTTGCAGCTGCTGTCACTATTTCTCCTGTTAGCATTGTAAAAGGAATAGGTCATTGCCTGATGGAGATCCTGCCATGACCAACCAAGTAATTCAGTAAAGAATGAGAAAACACTAATACAGTATGTTAAATAGCAGTACTGGGGCTCTGGAACTTGTAGCTGGTAGCTGACAACCTGTGGTCAGTAAGGGTCAAGTTTTTTTAAATAAGTCTGCTCCTTTGTGTGCCTTGTTTGTGCATGTAAATGACCATTAAGCCTGTATGGCCATCTGCCAACAGAGTTACTTGATTTCCAGGCACATAGTCATAGTAATTGCATATGTGCAATGTCAACTCACCCTAAATTCAAGAAGAAACTTTAGTAAGGTAATTAAAACACGTTCTGCTTGTAATATGTTGCTTTTAGAATAACCACTGCATGCCACAAACTCTAAATAGTTTTGCTTTCCAGTTCAGCAGAATGCAGCATCAGTTATTCATCCAAGGTCCAACCCCCTAAACATTAACTGTAAATCTGTTATTTGTCCCCAAAGTTACTGTCTTTTCCCTCAGACACACAGTGGTGTTGTTTTTCATGGAGATATGGAGAGGGCTGCTAAACAGCTGGTCAAAGAATCAAATCAAAACTGTCAGCTATTTTCAAGATTTTATTTTTTTATTATGTTTTCTGGCTTTGAAGGTGGAAAGAGGTTAAAAGGCAGTTGCATATAGGGTTGGACTTTCTTAAAGACTACTTACTAAAAACTTATTTGGGTTTACACAAGGATAAGCTAAAAAAACCAGCAAGGAATTTGTAATGCCTGCAAGTCAATAGCAAATTGACCAATGCCATTTAATGTGTTACTTATCAAAATAAATATAATAAGGTTTCAGATACAGGAAAACTGATTCATTTAGGTTTTATTATTTTTAGGGTATTTTTCTTTTGTTTTCTGAACCACTTGCTCACAAGAAAGCTTATCCTGCCATGTGGCTGTGATAAATACTGTGGAAGCGTGAGCTAGATCATGGTATTGCTTTGGGAGCGTCCATTCCAGTTCATATGAGGCGCTACAGTTTTCAATACAACAAGTAAAATGGAGGTACTTATATATTGCTGACTGACAAGAATGTCCATGTCTTTACATGTTCATATGCAATTCTGGAAATTACGTATTTTCACGAGAGGAAAAAAAATCATTCTCTTACTATTTTAATTTTCAGGATCGTATTATTGATGCTGGTCCCAAAGGAAACTATTCTCGTTTTATGAATCACAGCTGCCAACCAAATTGTGAGACTCTAAAATGGACAGTAAATGGAGATACACGCGTAGGCCTGTTTGCCGTGTGTGATATTCCTGCAGGTATGTGAATGTCTGGGGTTTTTAATATGAAACGTTAAACCTGTTGCCTGTCTGCATCAGATAATAATCAGTGCAAGCCAGTTCTGGTGTGATTTAACTGATTACTTTTGGCACAAAGTTCCCCATGGAACTCAGTGCATTCTCTCTTCATAGAGAGGAGAATACCAAGTTTTTCTTTTTCTCCAGTAAATGTTTTCTTACTGTTGAGCTTTAGACAAACCTTGAAATGGCTGCTTTTTGTTCATCTGATGGAAGCTCCTAGAGTTACTACCTATATTGAGTTCCTTTTCAGTACGGCAAAATATGGTTCTTCAAAGAATTTAAAACATATTTAAGACTAGGTGTAGTGAATGGGCATGCCAGGTAATTGCAGGGAGCAGGTAAAGGAGAACAGAGGAAACAGTATATTAAAAGAAATGTTTGTTTCTCAGCTCTGTGTATAGAAGATTTTAAGTTAATTATGTAAAAACATATTTGACATAAGAGAAAAATGAAAAGCTTCTGCTGGATATGTACCTAATAATGATCAGTGCTTGTAAAGGATGGAGAGACCAAAGTAAAAATACTAATTGCAGAGCAAGTGCTAAAATGGGCAAAGCAGAATAGAATACTTATTTGTGGATTAGTGCTGATTGTGGATAGTCCTTACCTTGTACTTTGTTTAATAAAGGGATATGGTAAACAGTCTTATCTCTTACTCAGGGACAGAGCTGACTTTCAACTACAATCTTGACTGTCTGGGCAATGAAAAAACTGTCTGTAAATGTGGTGCCCCAAACTGCAGTGGATTTCTTGGGGACAGACCAAAGGTATGTAAAATATAGCCTGAATGTAAAAGTACCCTTCAAAACTAAAAATCCTGTAGCTATTAAGAGAAAAAAGTTACAGGTTTTGTTGTTTTTGAGGGGTTTTTTTGAGTGTTAGTGAAAAATTATAATACCTGTAGGAAAACTTCAGCAAATAAAGCAACATGTTCTGAAAATTATCAAACTTCTCTGACGTTACAGAAATGTTACTGTTAAGGGTGAAAGATGCATCATGTATTGCTGCAATTATTCTGGGAGGGGAGAGGGGACATTGAGGCCCTTGGCAGACGTGCAGTTAAAGGCACAATGGTATTCGCATGTTCCCCACAATCGTGCTTCCTGCCATGCCACACATGAATGACAGGAGGCATGACTGTGAGATCAAAATTTCAAATAAAGGTGTTGGACCCCTTGGGAAGTTTTGAATGGAGGTGCGGACCACTTTACATTGTAAGTGGATATTCACATACTTCGATCATAGTCATCTTTTGCCGGGCCCCTTAGACATAGTCTGTGGACTCCCAGGGGTCCGTGGACCACAAGGTTGAAAACCACCGGTCCAGTTCCATCCAGATGCCGAATTAGAGGGGAATAATCGCTTCCCTCAGTCTGCAGGCCATTAGCTGTTAGCCTTCTTGGCAACGAGGGTGCACTGTTGGCTCATATTCAGCTTATTGTCCACTGTAACTCCCAGGTCCTTTTCTGCAGAGCTGCTGCCCAGCCAGTCGGCCCCCAGCCTGTACCGATGCATGGGATTGTTCTGTCCGAAGTGCAGGACTTTGCACTTGTCCTTGTTTGAACCTCATGAGATTTCTCTGGGCCCAATCCTCCAATTTCTCTAGGTCTCTGAACCCTAGCCCTACCCTCCAGCAGATCTACTACTCCTCCCAGCTTTGTGTCATCTGCAAACTTGCTGAGGGTGCAATCTATCCCATCTTCCAGGTCATTGATGAACAAAACCGTCCCAAAGACTGACCCCTGGGGCACTCCATTTGATACTGGCTGGCAAATAGACATCAAGCCATTACCACCCTCTGAGCCCAATGATCCAGCCAGTTTTCTGTCCACCTTACAGTCCATTCATCCAACCCATACTTCCTTAGCTTGCCTGCGAGAATGCTGTGGGAGACTGTATCAAAAGCCTTGCTAAATCTAAATATTTATCACAACTGCTGGTTTCCCTGCATCCACAGAACCAGTCATCTCATCATAGAAGGCAATCAGGTTGGTCAGGCATGACTTGCCCTTGGTGAATCCATGCTGACTGTTCCTAATCATCTTCTCTATGTGCTTAGAAACAGATTCCTTGAGAACCTGCTCTATGATTTTTTTCAGGGATTGAGGTGAGACGTCTGTAGTTTCCAGGATCCTCCTCCTTCCCTCTCTTAAAGAGGGCCACCATGTTTGCCCTTTTTCCAATCATCCAGGACCTCTCCCAGTCACCATGAGTTTTCAAAGATAATGGCCAAAGGCTCTGCAATCACATTGGCCAACTCCCTCAGCACCCTCATGTGCATCCTGTCCAGCCCCATGGACTTGTGCACATCCAGTTTCTCTAAATAGTCCCTAACCTGTTCTTTCACCACTATTGGCTGCTCACCTCCTCCCCAAACTGTGCTGCCCGGTGCAGTAGTCTTGGAGCTGACCATGCCTGTGAAGACTGAGATGAGAAAAGCATTGAGCACTTCTGCCTTTTCCACATCATCTATCATTAGGTTCTCTCCCCCATTCAGTACTTATATTTAGAAATGACCTGTGGGAATTAACTTAGATTTGCTTAAACATTATGTTCCTGGTGCTGGTCACATGTAGACATTGGAATGAAAATCTACTGTGGAATTGAGGGGACTGGCAGAGGAAAGCAAAATCAGATTCTTAACCATGGCAAGACTGTCCACCTTTTCAGTATTATGGTTCTTGACACTGCTCAGTGACTGGTCCTTCAGAGGGAGGATGTGCAATTGCAGAATATACCTACTTACATCTTTTTAGAAGAGGAATAATCTTACCTCAGCTTGTCATCCATTTATGCACTGAACCAGGAAAAAAATTGTAACTCATCTCTAGAGCTGTCTGGATTGCTAGATAAAGTATGCTTATTTGAGCAATAAGTTATAATAATATTGCAAATGCAAGACTACATCCACATCCTGAAATAATGTTGTCAATGACAGTTAACTGTCTGTGTGTAAAATCTCCATGTGATACAGTGACAGAGACCTAATAGAAATATGTACCCTCATCGAAAGACAATTCTTGATAGGAGAAGGTTCTTTAATTTAGACCCACAACTAATAATAAGATCCAGCAAATATAAGTTGAAGTTAACCGTCCTTGGAGAAAAATGTAAATGCCTAACGGGATACTAAATCATTGAACACTAGTATACGAAACCATTGAAACAAGGGTTTCTCCACCACTTGACTCTAGAGTGAATGCTTTTCAAACAGGATGTTTTCGCCCAACCAGAACTCATAGTCTTGATACATGGAACTCGTGGTTCTACAATCTGTATTTTTCAAACCAGGCTGTAATATTCCAATAATCTCCTTTTACTTGAAAATCTGAAATCTTTCTAACTTGTAGTGTGACTAGAGCTGTGGTTAATTAATTAGGTTGTGTAATTTATTAGATCATTTACTTATATTTCCTTCACTGTTTTAGACATTGAGATTGACAGGCTAATTATAAGTGATTTTTTTTGTGTTAAAAGATATTATTCCATCTTGGTGTTACCTGTGTTAGTGAGCATTCCTCCTGCTCTTGTGCATCAGGGGTTGCGTGGGAGCAGCCAGCAGGCCTCTGCTTACAGCATTTTTTGCTTGCACTGAAAAACATTTGCTTTCTGAAATATTTCTATTTTCTGTCTGATATTTTACTGCAAGTAGAAAAAATTGACAGCCCAAAGACTGATGGCCTTTATCTACAGGATATGCACAGCATAGGTGGCAGTGAGCAAGCTTCTTCATGCTAGCAAAGTGTTGTTAGCTCTGATCTACAAGGATATCCTCTAGGGACTAGAAGCTGCCCTGGTCTCTGTGTTGAATCAAACTTAAGCTTTGCTTGTGAGACTGCCTACATGGCAGTCAACACCAACACAGTTCCCCTGGGAACTGGAAGCACTAATTATCTTAACTTCTTCTACCAGGAAATTCTTGTAGATTGTTGTAGGCTTCTTTTCTCTCTCAGTGAAACATCTTAATTTTTCTATTTTTTGTTTTTGTTTTTTTAAACTGTAATTTCCCGCAGAATTCTTCCACTAATGCTTCAGAAGAAAAAGGCAAAAAGACCAAAAAGAGAACGCGGAGACGTAAAACAAAAAGTGAAGGAAAGAAACAGTCTGAAGACGAGTGTTTCCGTTGTGGTGATGGAGGACAACTTGTTTTGTGTGACAGGAAATCTTGTACGAAAACTTATCATCTCTCCTGTCTTGGTTTGGTGAAACGTCCTTTTGGTGAGTGGAGTGTATGAAGTGGTGGGGAAGGAAGCTGTTTGTGATAAAAACCTGTGCTGAAAATGTGTAAACCAATAGATTACAAGAAATATTTGCTTATCACATTGCATCTTTAAAAGAAAAATTAATTTACATCCTTAAAATTGAGGGAAGTTCTTATTCTTCAGGGCGTAATTTATAAATATGGCAAGAGTTTCTTTTGAATAGGGAGACCTACTATTCTTATCCCTTTCTAGACAAGCCAGGCACTTAAGTCCACATCACTAAATTAGGGTAGGGGTATTCATGTCAAGTAGAAGGCCTCTGGCACCCAGAGCCCCTTCACCAAGGCATGAACAATATATTAAACGCAGTTCCGTTCATGGAAGAGTCATGAGATTCATGATTCCTTGTTAATTCCCCAACTTGTTTTAACTTGGCTCAAAAAGGAAAGAGACTCTAAGTACAGTAGTTTGCTGCCTAGACTCATTGTTGAAATTCATGCTCCCCTCAGTAATGAAGTGCCCCCTTCTCCAAATGTATGCTGCTGTAATTGGAGGAGTATAATCAAGCTGAGCAGGTTCTTGGAAGATGGCTTGCCATACTCCTTGTCATTAGGACCCGTCAGCAACAATGACTTGTTAAATCCATATACTTCTAGCTGTTCTCAGAACCTTAAAACCCATCTGGCTTTTAGTCCCTGAGTTCATCAACTGAAACCAGGAATTGGATGTTGACTCCTCCGGCTGATTGGTGCTGAAAGAAAATGCTGAGATACGCATTCCTGTAAGATGATCTCTGTCCCGGGCTTTCCTTGTGTTATTGGTAAAAGCACTTTGTATTGGACACTACCAAAGATGTTCACCTTTCTCCGTCGTTTCGGTTCACAGAAAGGGCATGGAATGATGCCAGCGGACTGGGACTAGCTGTGGCCGAAAACCCCACGATGCTGTGGGCAAGGCTCAATGGCACCTTAAACGAAAATAGCCAACGGGTCTGAAAAGATGACAAAACTAAATACTAAATTTGTAACCTCTAAGATAAATTTCCACTGCCAGTTCAAAGTTTTCTTGGAAAGGAGCGGTGGCCACTTGCATTTTTTGTGGTTGCCTATGGTGATTTATGAATAATTGAGCGGCTGAAGTTGCAACATCTTAAGATATCCTCAGGTGGCCTTCTGAGGTTATTTATAGGGTATATATGCAATTACAAGGACCTTTTATTTAGACAGGTTCAAGGCTGCATGGATCCTACAATGAGAATCCACACAGATAAGGTTAAGAGAGCATTCATTCTTCACTTGGTACTACAGAAGAAGCTCTGCTTATAATTCATTTTCTGTAGTTTGTTGCCGTTCAGAGGTCAGAAGCTATTAGAGAAAGGAAAAGACAGGCAAACATAAAAATGTGACCAATACAAGTAAATTTGGTACTGTGCAATAACATCTGGAATGGGTAGAGATTGGAACTCATTAGAAAATATTTCAGGGAACTGAATTATTTATACTGACTTGATTTGTGTTGTATTTAAGTGGTAAAGGGTCAAGCAGTCCATATAAAGTAGTCTGCTCAGCTTATCTAGAGGTATGGCATCACATTTAGCTTTCAGTGGGTCTTTAGCCAGAAAAATTGCTATTCCCGCTTATACACTTTATAATTATTTCTGTGCTTTTTAAAGCAGACATTAAATACAAAGCATTTCCTGGCCTTTTTGCAACATGAAGCTTTCTTCTCATAACTGAAAAGAAAAACATTATTTCTATGAAACTATTTCCTCTGTTCTTTGTTCGATTGCAGGAAAGTGGGAGTGTCCGTGGCACCACTGTGATGTGTGTGGGAAACCTTCCATGTCTTTTTGCCATTTCTGCCCAAATTCTTTCTGCAAGGAACACCAAGATGGGACAGTACTAAATTCTACATTAAAGGGACAGTTATGCTGCTCTGAACATGTTCTTGGGGTAGCTTCTGTTGCAACTCAGAAGACTCGAAGACACCCCAGAAAAATGACCAAGTTGAAGCGCAAGAGAAGACAAAGGACCAGATGGATGAGAGCTGAATGCAAATAGTAATGGACTGCAGTATCTACTGCCAACACTATCTTGTAGATAAGTTGTGAATAGGGCCAGGGAAGAACATGGTTTTACATATATTCTGTAAAGGTTACATTTTGGGAGGGGATGCGGAAGCATTTTTTGTTTTTGTGTTTTTTTAAATCCACTGAGCCAACCACAGCAGTCTTCTGCTGCATCTGCACTGATAACGAACTGTGGCATACATAGTTCAGAATTTTTCAGGACAAACCAAACTTATTATTCAGCATTACAGTTACACTTGAATTGTTACGAATGTATAAGGTTCCCTCCAATATTTTTCAAGTTGGAGGTAGGTTAAATCAAAGCAGGTAGGCACATTATAAATGTAGGTTTTGAGATGTATTTGCCATCCAGCAGATGTTTAAAATAGTATATCCTTGAAAGAAATTATTAGGTGTCAAGTTTTTTGGTCTATAGTCCCAATTTATATCTGATTGCCTTGAGTGAATTGTTGAGCAAGTATTTGAGTGCCATTTACAACCCGGGTGCTTATCTGATTATAATCAACACACTTTTTAATTTGTTCTTGCTCTTATAAAATGGTTGTCTAGTTGTTCTTAAAGATATTTTTAATATCCTTCATGAAGAAGTACAGTGAATGGTGAGAAAAAGCTCACCTGTCCTAGAGAGGGAAAACCTTATAAAAGATTTTTTTTCTATACTGTTTTTTCCTGTATTTCATTTTAGGTAAATAGAAATACACTTGATCTTATAGAGTTGACAAGTCTGGACTCAAAGGGATATTGTTTTACAATCTCGGCCCAATATTTAGGATTTTTATGTTCTTAATAAAAAAAAAAATCTTACAACACCTAATATTAAGAGAATAGTTCATTATTTTTCTTAAAACCAATAAAAAATTTCACAGGCAATCATGTCTGCACTCAATCCAAACCTTGCAGCTTTGTGATAGTGCGAGAAATAGTGACTTGATAGCAAACTGCAGAATGACAAGTCAGTAGAAATTATTTTAAAAATAAACTGGAATTTTAAAGAAACACAATTATTAAAATAATAAATGTGACCTACTTGTCCCTTTCTAAATAGCATTTATAAAACGGACTGCTTGACTTCAAGAACAGACTTTGTCATTCCATTCTCGTTGAAGAGCTCAGAATTTGTTTCAGTAACACTTTTATTTTCTTGACCCCTGTTAGGTTCCAGACTTGCAGTGTGGTGCATATACAAGACTTAGGTTTAATGGAAATCACTGTAGAACTAGGAAAAAATGGTGAAGGAAAATATCTTAAATAATTTTGCTTACTATTTTCTACCTTATATGTGTAATTGGTGTGCAGTGAGGCAGTGTTATAAACCAGTTCTGACTTGTGCAGTCATTACCTACCCCATGGAAACACAATGTGGGCCTTCATGACCATTTAATAATTTGTATATGTTCTAGCTTAGTGTGCCTTTAATAGTGCAGAAACTCTGTGTAGGTTGTTTTTTTTAAATGACGCATAGCTATATTATAAAGTGTATATTTTTTCAAAGTATTTTTCAGGGTTTAATTGCAGTTCTAGTTATTTGAATGATTGAAATCTACATCTGTTCCCAGTACATGAGAATGTTTACTTTTTTATTAGATTTTAATTGCAGAAGTTCTAAAATGTACCATTATTCTGTGCTAAGAACTGATTTTTTTTTAAATTTCTTTTGTAATAGAGCAACTGCTTTGTTTTGTGGATCAAAATTTTATAAATACTGTTCGAAGGTTTGTTCCTCCCTTTTTCAAATAATCCTGGGCTGAAAGTAGCCAGTTCACTATAGGAGAGTGTTACATTCGTTAGCACTGTGACATTTCTACTTTTGCCAGATTAATATACAAAGCCTTGCACATGTGGAAAAATTGTGAAGGTTTCTGAAGGATGTTTGAGGGGACTGTTCTTTTGTCCTAACCTTCTTACTTGCGTTGCCAAGGCTAAAGCATAGCCAGGTACCTGAAATCAAAACCAAAAAGAAATTTTGTATATTTTTTCAGCGTTGGGGAAGGGAACTTAGATATTCTTTTGAAGGGAGGGGGGGGAGGGGCGGAGAAGCAAAAGCAAAAATGTTTTTCCTGGTCACTTTAGAGCAAAATGAAGGAATTTGGTATTATCAAGACAAATAGCTCAATATTTGTTTGGATAACATTCCCTGTGAGGACGGCTTTATAAAAATAATTTTAAAATAAGTTATTATGAAATCTTACCTTGACATTTTAGTATTTTTAAAATGTCTGTATTACATTTTTACCTTGTTCATAGCTTTGTACCTCTTCATCTTGCTGTAAGAGTTCCAGTGCCTTGGAATAGTTACAGACTGGTTTCTAATGGGCAGATATCCATGTCAAAGAAATCACCATACAACTGGTGGTAATTGGCACCATTGCTGAGATCAGCAACTGCATGATCATGAAATATGAAACCTCCCACTTCACTTCTAGGTCAGGACTACAGCATTTCAGCATGGCTGCATGCACTATAGTCACCCATGCTGTATTTGTTTGTGGGAAAATAAAGACTTCAGTCTCCAGGGCTATCATTCCCATACTTTTCTCATGCACATTAAATTCACACATATACCTTTAGAGAGTGGTTTTCTGCTGGTTATATGTGACTATATTTTTCTGCTTCCTTCCCACCTAACCAAGAATTCTAAAATGTTTGGGCCAACAGTGACATACATCCTTGAGAAGAATAAATTTATAGATGTGTGCTTAAAGTTAGCAAAATTAGTTGAAAATCCAGCTTCTGTTGGTCATCTCTTTTTTTTTTTTTTTTAAATTGATAGCTTAAAAGTAAAGACCAAATTTTGTCTCAGTTCAAAGCCCCTACAGCCTGTTAGCTTAGCAGGATTGCTTGAAATGTAATTTGATATAATTTAGTACCTGGTTCAGGAGAATTTGGATTTCTTTTTTCACTGAGACTTCTACACTTTGTCTTAGAATGAGAAGAATCTGCTTTAACTGAAAAAGAGCCATGTCCACATTTTCCTTTTCCACAGGTCAAATACAGTGGAAATATTCCTGCTAAAAACCAAAGTGTCTCCTGTAAAAATGACACAATAGCTTTTAGTAGCCATCATATATGAAGATTGGCCATTTGCTTGTAAAACTTTCTAAATACCAATTGCAACCTAAATAGGTCATATTAAATTAAATCAAAATGTTTACTTATTGTCGTATCCATCAAATTATGGCTATTTTTCTCTTTTTGGTTACTTCTCTTGTACAAAGTTGGTATAAACTAGGTCAATCCCAAATATGCTGTTGCTTCCTGATCAGATGAGCGAGCATGGAAGTGATAGTTTCAGGTAAAAAAAAATATCAGAAGTTTTTTCCTACACTTTGGAAAGAATAATTAAATTAGATTGCAGCTTTGTTTTGTAGTTTGCAGTCATAGCCAGTTTTTAGGGGAGTATTTGAAATACTTTAAATACTGGAGTTATTTGGAGAAGTATTAATGGGAATGCTCTGCGTTGCTGAGTCATATTATTCCTTGTCTGACCCTTTGAAAATTGTGGTGTCTTATTAAAGTTCGTTCCTAGTTATCTTATTTTGAAATTGCCAGTTTTTGTTTGGAAAATGAAATAAATAGTGGGTTTTATTCTTACAGTAATTATTTAAAAGTGAAACAGTAAATGTTGTGCAAATACATCACTTTGTAGCTATATTGATGAGACTTAAAAATACAAGGATTTTTATCATGAAAATTTGAGGTACGGGGTTTTCTAAGTGGTTGGCTGGAATTTCGACTTTTTTAAGCTTCATTTGTAAGTGATATGTTTATGCTTTCAGACTCTGCTTTCATGTTTTTTCTTTAGCAAGTGGTGGCAATGCAGCCTAACATTCTCCACTGTAAGATCCTGTTTTCAGTTGCTTATCACTTGCCACATTTTTAACTGTTTGGGCTGCAGTTTTCCATATCAGGCCAGAGGGTGTTGTTAAAGTTTCAGCAAAAATATTTAGGCAGTTCCAAGAACAAGATTGCCCATGTTAAAATATATATTCTTAGTTGTTCTGTTGAGGAGGTCCGGTGTCCCCAAGGTCCATAGAAGCAGCTTGACATTTGACTTGGATGTTGTTTCACAGATGGATTCTCAGAAAAGTCTCTGAAAATTGTGTCTGCTGAGCATGCTCCAACCCAGAGCCACGGGGTCTGAACAGAAGAATTTGTCTTCAGTAACTGCTGCAGGGGGTGAGAGAGGAAAAACATTAGGCACAAGGGCTAAGTACAGAGGTCCAAAACACCAGAGGCAAAATTGATTCAATCTTTGCAGTTTTTTCTAAGTTGCCTAGATTGAGCCAGTAACAAAGTGAACTGCCCAAGACAGGGCAAAGCCTGCATTGGCCCAGGCCAGAAGCCTGGGAGTGCTCGTGCACCACCCCTCATGGCCAGGCTGCCTAAGGGGGCTGAACCAGCAGCCAAGGCCTGATTTGCAGCTGGGCTTTGGCGGGGGGGAAGCACCTTCCAGGAGTCCTGTCCCCCCCTCCCAGTCAGACTGAGCTCATGCCAGCCCCAACCCTTCCCCAGCTGTCGGCCTCTGAGCCCACTCCCCAGCCCAGCTCTGAGCTGTGGGCAGAGCCCACCGGTGGGTGCTTTCCCCTCCATGCCAGGCAGATGTTGACTGGGGGACAGGCTAACCTCCTCTCTCCCTTTCCCCCACCCCTCTCAGAGGTGACAGCTGGGGAAGGGGTGGGGCTGGGGGATCCCAGCATGGCGCAGAGCTGCAGGGGGGCAGGTGAGAAGCTCCTGGGTGGGGGCTTCCCCGCAGACCCCACCTGGAGGAGCGAGTGCCAGGCAGCAGTGGGGAGATGTATATTCCCCACCTCTAGGAGGCGGAAACTATGGAAAGGGTGGAGCTGAGCCAATCCCTGCCCGACTCACTGGGCTGCAAGGGGAGCGGGGAAGCAAAAAGCCACCACCACCGCAGGGGCTTTTCCTCTCCTTGCTGTACTGCCTTGGGGACAGGGGAGCCCAGACAGTAAGCAGGCTGGGAAGCTGAGGCTTGAATGCCTCAGCTCTGTGGCAGCTGCAGATTGGGCTGGCCTTGCTTTGTTGGAGCTGACAGCACAGCCCAGGACTCCAAAGCATCCTGGGATGCTGGGGAACTGAGAGTGAACTTGATTCCGGAAGATTTGAGCCAGAAGTTCCATAAACCAGTTTAACCTAAATCAGTTAAGTCTGATACTACATCCATCCAGGTTTATCTTAAACCAGGCCATTTTGAAAGCAGTTAATGTGCACTGAACTTCTGTTCTGTTATAGGTTTAAACCAGTTTCCAATCTCTTACATTGTTTCATGTGTAACTTCTGTCCCTCGCCAAAAAGTGAGAACAAGGAGACATTCC